TCAAAAACTTTTCTAAAAGCCGCATCAAATTAGATTCAGCAAATTGCGAGATATTCGCGCACAAATATACATACACACAGATCAAGCTTCTTCTTTTTTTGAAGTCAGTTAAAAATACTGTTACATATATGGCTAAACAAGTTACATCCAGTGGTCTAATTTAATACAAGAGTTTTCACACTAGAAGGATGCACACTACATTAATTTACTTAATGAACTGCAGTGCTATACTGTGGTAAGGAAGTGTAAACATTACCGCCATATATTTCCGCCATATTAACCCTAATGATATAATTAATTCTTTTGTTTGCAAGAACAACGGCTTCCCCACTAATGTATGTTAATGATCTTACAATACAATACATGTGGGTATGATTATTGTATGTGTTGTATCGTATTGAAGTGTGGTTATTGTATTGAAGCTGTACCTTAAGTTAAATTAATGTAGAAGTAATTTTAGGTTGTAAATTATCTTTAAATGAATAGATAGTTTCCTGCCTTAGTAGTCTCATAGAAGTAATTAGTATATCTTCGGCTTAATCGCGTAACTGTTTGAGGAAGAACTCGACTAGTTTCAAACTACACTAAGGTCATGAGGAGGATTGCGCGACACACACTGAAAAGAATACCACCACATTTTTTGTCTGTCATACTAACATAACATAACATAACATAACGCCTTTTTATCCCCGAAGGGGTAGGCAGAGGTGCACATTTCGGCACCTAATGCCACTGTACAATGTAACACCCACTTTTCACTATTTATGTTATGAGTATGTAATAGGGGGTGAGCCTATTGTCATATACCGGACACATTTCCAGACTCCGTGCTACTACTGAGATTTTTAAAAACCCAGTAATACTTTGCCCAACCCGGGAATCGAACCCGAGACCCCTTGTCTGTCATTGTCTGTCTGTCATACTATTTAAGTAAATTCTCATAAAAAGATCAGCGTTTTGTACTGAGATGCAACAGAATAACTATACAACATACCATGCAACTTGCACTATCTCCTAGATATTTCATTTCCCTCACAGACGAAGTGGAATTAATTTACTTTACAAAGTTTCTGAACCATTACTTCGCAGCGAATCTTATAACAGATGTATAGGAGGATGATGTGTAGTGGATTTTGCAAATGTAGTATTAAAAGTGGGACGGGCGTCCCTCGGTGGACGAAGTTGAGTGTCGTTTGTAAGTTGTGGACGGTACCGAGTCCCAGGAGCGTGGCCATTGAAACTTGTTATGAGATAAAATTGTTCTGTTTTATGCTCTTAGTGGTTCGAGACACCGAAATAGTGGCAGTGAGAATTGTAGTTTATTTTTTTGTTTTGAAATATGGTTTTCATTTTCACTTTTTTGTTTTTATGTATGGTGAGTTGTTGTGCTTGTGAATTGGTTTTTGTTCATGTTTAATGTAATGTTTGTGTATTGTTTTGACTTGTGTATCCCTTAGACCAATACAGTTTAATGCAATTAGGGCCGATTTTTTCAATGCCAGATAAATTTTGACTGAGGAATAACTTTGAATATCTTCCATACTGAAAACTGTTAAATGTCAATTTTATTCTATAGAATCTATCTATAAAATAGATGATTGAATAATCGGTCCTTTAAAAGTTACATAACCACGCCAGATATTGCTTTAACAGTAAAAGAAAATGAAAATTCTCAGAGAAAAGTCAATGCTTAAAATGTTGTGCAATATTTTATACTAGTACTCTCATGAAATCAGAACTAAAGTAAACTGTTGAAAAATAAATGTGTGCCGTCTATTTCTGTTTATTTTTTTTTCAAATAATTTCTTTCATAATTTTAATGAATAAAATGTAGTAACATCTTTCATTACTCAACGTAGTTATTTTTTGTTTCTCATCTAGATATTTGTTAATTTCTCCAGAGTTTGAGACACGAAATGGACGCTTTTAGTTAATTAATGAAGCGAGTGAGCGCTACAAGAGTTTAAATTTTAAAGTCTTAATTATTCAAAATACTCCTACTTCAGTGGTTTGCTAAAATTGATTTTAATTAGTGGTAGAATAAAGCTTTTAAATACCTAAATTCCGAATACCATATTTTGTTCAACGAAAAATTGGTATTTGTATTTTGATATGTATTAGAGTTTAAGTCACGTGCAGGATTATAATTTTAGAAATAACAGAATTACACTTGTATTATTTAAAAATGTGAGATTACTGTATTCTAAAGTGTTTTTTTTAATTTTTATTTTAAAACGCTTCATGCACACACTAATGTACAAGGTGGGCTTAATGCCTTGAGCATTCTCCTCCAGCCAGACCTTTGGGTGATGCAGAAAGAAAAACAATGGTCGATGCAAGAAGCAAGCGTATTTAAGAATCAACAGGAATACACAAGTGTTGTGTAACAAAAATAGCACATAGCCTTCTTTCTTTACCCATCAACGTCTTCAACAATATTTGATTAAATCATAGTTTACTTAATTTTTGAGAAACAAGCTCTTCAAGTATGTATCATCATGCAAAAACTTTAAGTACAGTCAAACAAGTGTTGTGCACCTCTTCCATTTTAAAACGATGGTTATTTTTCTTATATCGAACCATCCCGCACGGAGTAGTAATAGCAAACCATTTGCGAACACGATCACCCACTCTGACAGAGTTGACACACCTGAAAGTGCAAACACCATCGCTCCGGATAACCGTATAAGTTATCCTTTACCAAAACACATTTTACTCGTAAATTGTCGATCATAAAACTGTGAAAGTCACCATGGTATTGTACTATAGTAGTGCAGTGGTTGGCAACTCAAGGGATCATTCTTTGTGTGATTCACAATTTTTTTTTTTTAGTTTGATTGTGATACGTTCATGTGCGATTTTTTTATGGGATAAGCCGGTAAATGAACAGACGGATCACCTGATGGTAAGCAATCGGCGTCTCCCATAGATACCTGAAACACCAGAGGTATTACAAGTGCTTTAATGGCCTTTTGGGGATTAGGAGTTGGGGGATTGTTGGGGATTCAGGTATTAAAGATATTGGGTGTAATTGGGCCTCTGGTAACCTCACTCACACGATGAAAGGCAGGTTAGGCTGTGGTATCACTCCGGTCGAGCCGGCCCATTCGTGCCGAAGCATGGCTCTTCTACACTTGGATTTGTGTTAGTAAATGCGTCCGCACTTTGTTGGAGAGACCCATCTTCGGAAGAGAAGGTTTTGTTGCTGATATGATGATGATGATGATTACACTTGTATCCTAGAGTAGACCGATGTTGAAGCAAAATCAACCCAATTCATTGGACAAGTGAATGCTTTGGAATTTTTGTCTGTTCTTTAGTGAAGCCATTAGCTCGTTTGGAAGCATGAATTACTTTTGCAAATACTCACCTGATAAACAATTTAATGACTTCAAAATCACTATTAAAAGTCCTTAAGTCACCAATATACCTAACATTATAATGGATACTGAGACACCGTGTTTAACTATATTTTCGACAACCCGTAAAACTGCGTGAATTAAGAAGTTCGTTGCAACACAATCTCGGTTACAATTCCAGTTGTGGCCTGGAGCAATTTACAGCTGTTGTGGTGCAAAACTAGCGGAATGTATACACAGGAAATTGTTACTGTTTACACTATAAATATAACACGTTTTTTTATTTGTATAGTACACGAAACTTGTGTTGTGGTAATGCAATGCTTTTCTAATTACCCAAAATACATAACATAACATAACATCACGCCATTTTATCCCCGAAGGGGTAGGCAGAGGTGTTCATTATGCCACTGTACAATGTAACACCCACTTTTCACTATTTTATGTTATGAGTCCCATGTAATAGGGGGTGAGCCTATTGCCATATACCGGGCACAATTCCAGACTCCGTGCTAGTACTGTAAATTTTAAATTTTTTGCCCGACCCGGGAATCGAACCCAAGACCCCTTGCCCGGCAGTCGCACTTGCGACCACTCGGCCAACGATGCAGTCCAAATATTAATAAGTTAAACGTTCTTCTCACAGAGTAGTCATTGGATCTATGCTTTGATAATTAAAATATGATGAAGAGATTTTGGATTCGAGTTACGAAATTGTCTTTAGAGAGGCAGTTATTGAATTTGTCTTCGGTTTTTTTAATAGGTTCACCCCCAACACGACAGAAGTAAATGTATTATTACTTCATAGAGTAACCAACCAATTGATTATATAAAATGTTCGTTTACTCATTTGGAGTGTTCTTCATATTCTATTAAATATTATTCAAAGTATCACCGCTGCAATCCAGCATAAAAATCAACAGAGATATATAAGTTCCGAGTTTTATTATCCTATTTTTCATACATTATCCGCTCGGTAGGAAGTCGCAAAGACATTTTTATACTTAAAATATCTTCCCCGAGGCGAAGAAATTCCGCAGAGCATCCGGGCATAGTTTGTGCATTCCGCGTAGCTTGCGGCCGGCATATCATTGCACTGAGCCGGCAAGCAATATAACTCCGTTGCTCCGAGCTTGCCCCACTTCGTCTTAGCCGTTTCCTTTATGGATATAATTTCTTTGTTCAGATTTTAGCGAGCTGAGGTTAATGTTTGTAGAACATCGTAGTGTAAATGCTCTTTAAATCGGGAATATCAGATTTGTAGTTGTGTGTGTATATAGAATTAGGTACTTTAAATACTTTACCACTGGATGCAGGTCGTTTCCAACCAGCCTATTTGGAAGTCATTTGGGGGAGGCCTATGTTCAGCAGTGGACGTCCTGTCGCTGATATGATGATGATGAAGATGATAGAATTACGTCAACACGTAAACATCAAAGTTAAACAACTTTGATGTGAGATGGTGCATAAAGTATGTATGTAGTTGTTCTACTTAATGCAAGACTTTTTAGTAAGATCCGTTTTTCATTTCTTAAGATTCCCGTGTTTAATTTCAAACTCGTTATGTACGCGATTGCAAACACTTAATTTTTTTTTATGGCATATGCCATATGAATTTTTATAAACGAGCAGACGGATCACCTGATGGTAAGCAATCGGCGTCGCCCATGGACACCGAGAACACCAGAGGAGTTACAAGTGCGTTACCGGCCTTTTGGGGATTAGGAGTTTGAGGATCGTTGGGGATTCAGGGATTGGGGAGATTGGGGAAGGGGAGGGTAATTGGGCCTCCGGTAACCTCACTCATACGACGAAACACAACGCAAGCGTTGCTTCACGTCGGTTTTCTGTGAAGCCGTGGTATCACTCCGGTCGAGCCGGCCCATTCGTGCCGAAGCATGGCTCTCCCACACTTAAAATTCCACTACTAAAACTATTGTCATTCACTTGTAACGTACCAAAGGTGCTTATGTATATTTTTTTATTGAAAGTCTATCATTCAAGTTGTAATTCTATCGTGCCTTATATAACTTCGCTGTTACTTTTTATCTAAAATGCGCTGTTGTCCGCGAATGGACTTCCAAAAACTATTTCTCACGTACAAGCGAATGGAATCGCAAGAAATAATTAATATTTATAGTCGCCATGGGTGATTTAAACTGTTGTTTTCCTCTTCAGTTGTGTTACAAACAACAGATTAATATCAATTAATATTCTTCATTCTGTTTGTTATTTTTGTGTACTCATATTACACAAACTTATCGCTAATGGGTATTCGTATGTACAAAACTTACATTAAACTTTGAGTACATTAACAGAAGACTTAAAATAATGTGCACCAAGAATAGGCTACATGTCAAAGTAATTTATTGCATATTCACTTTGAAACCTAGCTAAGACATGTCTTGAAATTTATACCTGTGTGGAACTTAAGTTTTCTTAGATTTTTAAATACCTTCTAATGTTTCTAGGTGAACAGAAATGGTCTGGTCAGGTAAAATCTTAAGTCTATTTATTTATTTATTTAACAACTTTGAAACACTAACAGCTAGCAAAACAAAAATTAAGAAATTGTGTGAGAGTCTGACAGCCAATGACAAGTCTTCAGTTATAAAAAACAAACTTATACTATATAAGAATGTGGTCGACACAGTACTCCCTACAAAATGGTTGACTATTAGCTACTTCCGCGCGGTTTTACACGCTCTGCTCAACTCCTATTGGTCGTAGCGTGTTGTTTATAGACTATAGCCATTCTCGATAAATGTGCTATCAAACACAAAAAGAATTATTCAAATCAGACTTGTAGTTACGGAGATTAGCGCGTTCAAACAAACAAACAAAAAAACAAACTCTTCCACTTTATATAATAGTATAAGAAAGTATAAGATTACAATGTGATAAAGCAACAACATACATATTTTCTTAAGATCCAACGCGACATTTAACGACAAGAATCAATCTACGCTATTATCACTACACAATGATAAAACACATATTTGAGAAATAATTGTCTACAAATTATCAACGAAAATAACTATTTTCTTGGAACAAACTTCAATATTTACACAGATATAAGATCTTAAGTATTTCGAAGCAATGTTAAAAGCAAATAATCTAGTTCACTGTAAGCTATCGGTTCCTCAATCAGTGTAACATTTCAGTTTGTTGATGAGTATTACTAATCCTACTACTAACTAATATTCCTAAATACGAACTTATCTACATCTATACTAATACTGTAAATACTGAAGCAAATCTGTATGTTTATCTCTCTACGCTAAATCCGTTTACTTGAATGAAATGTTTTGGTAAAAATAAGAAGATAATTTAAACTATGATTAAAACATTGACATACATACATAACATCACGCCTTTTATCCTCGAAGGGGTAGGCAGAGGTGTACATTACGGCAATTAATGCCACTGTACAATGTAACACCCTATTGCCATTAAAACATTGATTTATCTATTATTCATTTTTAACAGATTTCATCACTAAAGCTGTTACAAAGATAGGTAAGGAACTAGTTATTACAAGTTATCAGCGTGATAGCAAGGATGTACCTACAGGGTGTAAACAATGAACGCTCCCGAAAAACGCCGAGAGGTGACGGTCAAAAATAGGTTTTATTTTCATAAAAATAAGGATGCAAATGTTTCTTTTATGTAATAATAGTTTTTTTATTATCTTTATCATGTAATAATAATAATAATAATAATAAGCCCGCAGGGCACCTTGAGGCGAGGTGACGGGCATTAGCGATCCCGCGGGCTACCATCATCCCGAGTGCTCCAGGGAGAAGTCACCGTTCCCTCTTCTCCGGCTTGCCTTAATTGGCTGGCTGGAGTGAACGATGACAAGGAACAGGTCTCCCACCTCTGGCTTGCCTTCATTGGCCGTCCAGAGTGGAGTCGCGAGAGCAGTGATCCTGCTCGGAGGGTAAGAAACTATTCGTAAGTCGCGAGTGGGCCAGGGATGCAGGAAGCTTCGGCTGGAGCAGATGATCTGAGTAGAAAGCGGTGGTAGTTTCTTAACCCTTCAGCCACTCACATTCTCGTTGCCCCTCTGTTGCTATATCTAGCAGCCATTCCCGGGGCCCGGTCGGTGAGTTGGCGAGTCTCCGCCTGCCATTTTTACGTGTAATAATTACATTGTTTCGGCAGGTGCCATAGTCATCCATAGTTCCCAATTTTCCAGTCCACAGCAACCCATCCATAGCCCTATCTTTTTTTTTCCATTATCCTCAATAGTTTTACACTAACCGGAGACTGTCCTTGGGTGCATTTCCATAGTGCATACAGGGATAGTCGCCGGTTTGTGTGTCCATTACATTTATATTAAAGTTGTCTAAAGGGCCTCTGCGCAGTTGGCTTCGGCCCCTCGCATGCCTCCCAAATGACCGGGACCCTGTGGTCCCGTGAATGGTAAAGACATACAATAATAATAATAATATCGTTTATTTCTCAGTATATGGTACACATAGATCTTAACAATACAGCAGTTTCACATACACAACCGTCTCCGGTGTAGAAATAATTCTAATAGTATTACATTAAATTTCATATTTTACCAAAAACACTGATTCTATATAGTACTATCTAGTTTATTAAATATCTGAAACCACCTACTTTATAATATAAAATGTCATTGATTTTTATAAAATTAAATGTTGATAGATAAAAGTCATAAGTGATTAAGTAGGTAGTTCAGTAGTCACAATGTAAGATGTCAAAGAATTCAATTTTTAGATACAATAGTCATAATAATACAATAATAAAATGTCGAAGTACAACACAATTCATAAACAAGTCAAGTAAGTACCTACATACCTATGTAATTTATAAAAGTCCAATTACTTTATTATTTCCATGACTTATCCTCTAAGTATTCTCTAACACTGTAATATTGTTTTTCAACAAGGCGTTTATACAATAACTTTTTGAATTTTAGGACAGGCAAATCTTGAAATTTGTTTGGTAAATTGTTATAAATGATAATAGCCATGCAGTAAACATTTCTCTTAAATAACATTAATTTTATTTGGGGTAATTTCAATCTATCTTTGTGTCTTATTCTACTATTTGGTTTTAAACAGTTTTCTTCAAATAAACTATAATTCCTTTTCACAAACATGCATGTTTCAAAAATATAAAGACACGGTAAAGATAAAATATTAAGATTTTGAAGCAATGGCTTACAACTTTCTAAAAAGTGGGCTCCACACATTGCTCGGATACATTTTTTTTGTGCTTTAAATAACGTCTCGACCTCGACCGAGTTTCCCCAAATTATGATTCCGTATCTGATTACCGATGCCACATAGGCATTATAAGCAACTATAGCAGTCCTTAGGTTTATTGTTTGTCTCATTCGTCTCAAGACATACACAAATCGATCCAGTTTTTTTCGTGTTTTATCTATGTGAGGTTTCCAGGTGCAATGTTTGTCTACAGTTATACCTAAAAATACACATTCATTGACCGTGTTTATGGTGAAATTATTAAATTGAATGTTGAGTAAATGATGTGTGTTTGTGTTAGGTGCTTGGAATTTTATTACATTCGTTTTTGTCATGTTTATTTTTAAGTTGTTTTCTTCTAGCCATTTAGTCGCCTTATCCAGTGCTTTAACAATATGTTTCTCTAAGTCATCATTATCTTTGCTTTTAATTATCAGTGTTGTGTCGTCAGCAAATAATACGCATTCTTCATTGATCGCTTGAGGCAGGTCGTTAATGTACAACAAAAATAACAGAGGGGATAAAATGCCTCCTTGGGGTGTGCCAATGATTTTCTTTTTGTACCTTGATTTGTATGTGTTTTGTACATTTTCATATGTTCTTGTTATTTCCACGCATTGCTGTCGATCAGCAAGAAAGCATAATTAATAGTTGTAATCAACCGCTCAAGGGTAATGTTGCAGGAATTGAATAACACGAAAACAAAACAATTAACAGCCAGTTAGATATAGAATAGATAGAGGCCAGAGATAGAATTTTGACACAAGCTCCATACAAAATGTGTCAAAATTCTATCTCTAGTACGCAAATCTACAGATAGATAGGTTATATCCATATAATTGAAAAAAAAAAATTGTCAGTGTTTAGTAAGTGTTCCGTTTACACCCTGTAATTACGAAAATTCAGGGACTACTTAAAGGTAACCAAAATGTCCAATTCTATGCAAATAAGTCGCGGCTGAAAGCTAGTACCTATCAATTAAACTTCTATCTACATTATGTTGTATTATTAATATTTGTTCAATATCGAACAGATAGACTTCCTAGAAATCAGTATTACACACATTGATTAGCAAATTGATGATCAAGATTGTAATTCGAAATTAATTGGTTCCTAGGTAATTACTAGATGATGGCAGGAGCTTATATATGTAGTCAGGACACATGACTCTGTTCACAATTATATCGCAATTAGACTCGACCATTCAGTCATGTGGGTGTACCTATCTTGACCTATTTGTATGTCATATGAAGCGAGGCTAATAAATTAACGTAAAGGCGGTCATGATCAATAATACTACACAACTTAGGCATCTACCCAAGATGCCTAATTTTTATTTTAATGTCTGTCTGGTAGATTATTTTAAATCATTAGACACGTATTTTTTATTTTCTTACACAAACGAATACTTTCGACGATGTATTGATTTGAAATGTCACGTGACGTCACTTCTATGTACATTCTATACGTAGAAATGACGTTTTAGCCCCCACTCCTAAACTTTGATTCTTTTTGTCTAAGTATTATTTTACCTATTATACCACAAAATAGAAAAAATACGTGTCTAATATTTTTTCGTTACCTAACTTACGGACTAATTAGATTTTTAATTTTCATACCCCGTCATCATCCCAATTCCCTCTATTTAGCTTGTCTGTTTATGCTCGTACAAAGGGATACT